CCCGCCACGTCCCCAGCCTCATCCTGGAAACCAAAGGCATCCCGGTATGTCAGGGGAAAGGCTGCCTGCTGTTTTCTTTGTCACCTTGAATAGTAATTAAGGAGCAGTTGTCACTGCTCTTCAAACCCACGTACGTGGAAATTTTAGCATCTCAAAAGTGTATTCGGGCTTTATAAATAGTTTGTCTATGTTGCCTAGCAACAGCTTTTCATCTCCTCTTCAGCTAAGCGTGGTTTTTGTTTTTTAAATGGGTTGCTTTTTTCTCAGTAGTGTGTTCTTAAACCTCTTGAGAGAAAATATTAAAAAGGTCATTTAACTTTAGCTTTTCTGGCTATCCATAAGCATATTTTGTTTTTGTTTTCCTGTTACAAGTGACTTTCTTAGGAGAGCTGAGAGCACTTGGCAAATTCAGAAGATCATCTTGTAAACCATTTCACTTTTACATCTGTTTAGCCACTTAAATGGAGCTCTATCACTGTCTTAACTGTAACAGTAATTAAAATGAAATTGTTGTGCTTGTTCAGGAGGAGAAATTTGTGCAGCTGAAGGCTCTTCATGCTCAGTCTGTTGAAGCTGTTTTGCTGGAGCTCTTTGTGTGAACTCCTCAGTTGGAATATCTGTTTTACAGCCCTCTCTGATATTACAGTGTCTCTGAGCAGCAGAATGGGGGTGCAGAGTGTGGTTTTCCCCTCTCCTTTTGCACATAGACTTGAGTGTGTCCAAACCAAAGAGTTGAGGCTTCAGAGGCATAATTTGAACCTGGTTCCCTTTCCTGCAGGGTGGCTCTCCATGTGGAAGTGCTGTAGAGCTCAGCAGCACTGTGTGGTCCACAGAGGGATCTGGTCTTGATCTCTTGAGTTAATTTTGTTTCAGGATGCTGGTGGCAGATTTTGAGTCCTTGGCTCAGAATGTCTCTGCATGAGTGTAAAATTCCCTAAGTTCCCATTTTCTGGGCTGTAGGTCAGCTTCTGTGTGGAGTGCTGAACTTGTGAGCTGGGTGGATCACCTGAGTGTACAGCAGGGAGGTGCTTGGGATGGGCTGCCCCTCAGGAGAGCCTGCCTAGATCATTAATTAGCTCACACTGACTGAATTGAGGGAATTTTAATTACCTTTCAGGTAAATCTGCCGGTGGTGAAGTGATCAAAGCTGTCTCTCATCTTTCTTTAAAAGTTTTGCTTGGAAGGAAGGGAAACTGATTATTTTCTGCTACTTTTGGAAATGTGCTTCACTCCTCATCTGCAAACAATCTGATCCTGACACTGTTCTGGTAGAAACAGTACAGCTGTGTTGTGATTTAGCAGCACAAAACATGCTTTTAGTAGGAAATTTAATGTTTAAAACATAGTGTGAGTCTGTCTAGTTCTGTCCAGACCAAATAAATGTTCTGTTCATCATCCCCAGGATTTACTGATTAAAGCAAATTAATTTGCTTGGAACAGCCTTATCTTTTTTTAAAGAGGGCATTTCCCTTGCAGGCCACTGAGCTGTTGTGTCTGGGCATGTGTGAAAATTGGATTGGGGATTATTGAGATGAAGGTGGCTCAGGATGGGGTAGGGTTACCCATGACTTCAGCAGATCTAATAAGGAAAAGTTGGATTTTTTTGGTATGGATACAATACTGTAAGGGTGTGCTGAGGATTATTCCACCTATTCTCAGTGATCTCCAGGATAAATGGGGTGCCTGGAGCTCACTCAGGAGGTTCAGTGGCTTTGGAGCCAGGACCAGCCTGGGTTCCTCCCCCAGCACATTGAGCAGGTGGGATCCTGTCCTAGGGCAGGCAGGAACATTGGGGAGGGATTTCTGTGTCAGCTTTTCCAAACTACCACCCCAAAATCCCAGTGACACCAGGAAGGGGCTCAGCAAGCCTTGGTGCTTAAAAACCAGAGATCCTGGGCTCAGCAAGCCTTGGTGCTTAAAAACCAGAGATCCTGGGCTCAGCAAGCCTTG